AAAAAAATAAATAATAGCGCGCGGAACTTCAAGCCGGGAAAATACGGGTTTGTACGGACCTGTCGCGAAAAGGCGTACGGACCCCATCACGTGACCATTTTCCAAAGGTTTCAGTGAGAGCGCGCGTAGGGCCGAAATACGGGTCATATGATAAAACGAAAAACCGTGCGCAATTTGTTTTTTACCACATTTTTAGTGTAAATATTATCGAAAATCATTCTTTTCTTTCAATTGAGCGCGCGAGACGCCCGGCCCGGGGCGAGACGTGATGGCGTCAGCACAGTGTGCATGTCCTCTTATTGACACACTCTAATCAGCCAATCAGCACGCGAGAATTTACACAAGTCTGGTAAAAAGTCTTTTATTCTGTAACAGACCGTGTAAACGCGAGAAATCTGTAGTATAGAAGACAATGAAAATAGTTTGAACATTCACGACAATCTTAGGGCAGTGTACTCATACGATTAAGTGCGCAAAGCAAACTAGTGATTGTCGCGGGACAATCGCGCTCCAAAAATTGAGAGAGCAAACCAGCCTTTAAGGTTGCGCGTCTGAGTGTTTTTATTCAAAATGGTGTGATTCTCATCATTATAAAATTTGGGATTTTCACTCCGAAAATAACCCGCATATCAATTTACTAATAAGTGATTACCTTTCATAACATTTTGTCGTTTCCTTTTCTTGCATCCAAGATAGAACTGTCTCTTGTAAAGAAATATTAGGATCCATCCATGTCGGGCAGGCATTGCTAACAATCATCCTGTCTCGTTTAGGACAGTCGGGTGATGAACACCTCGAAAGCTGTTTGCTTCCATAAAGTACATTAAAATGTCTGATGAACAACACGTATTCGTTATTCCAAAAGTTGATTCGATTAAATTGTGGCTGGAGGGAATTCAGCTTCATGACAATCATTTTTATGGCATTGAATTGGCCTTTTTTATAAAGGTTTTCCATTTCCAGGAACACTTTACAGTCCTTTTGTGAGAGTCTTTTTCGTACTGCGATGTTTTCTTGCCATAATACGTGCATGATGACAATCCAGCCATCAGCTGGACAAGTGTTGATCAATGACACTGATCCAGAAGGTAGCATAGCTGAACCACCCCACTTAGGAAAATGATCTTTTACAATATGGTTTCCTACTGTTGGTGGTCGATATGCACGCACTACACAGCTGTCTTTCTTTGGTGGTAGACTCGAAGTTTGCTCCTTTATCTTAGTACGATGGCTCGATGTTTCCAGACGTGGTTTTGTTGTGCTTTCCATGGATTGTTGTCGCTTTTTCTTGACAGGTCTTGATGAGCTTAACATTGGGAAATTTTCTTCGTTCATTGATGGTGCCTGTAACTCCTCCAGTACACAGGCTTTTCCAGATATTACTGGTAAAGTATTCGACGACAGTTTGGATGTGTTGTGTTCCATTCTTGATGTTTTAACAACCAACGTGCTGTGGTTTGATCGTTGTCTCTTTTCATCATCAAGATATGTCCTGCCTTTCTTTTTTAACTCTAATGGACCAAGCACTGGAAAGTGTTCCTCATTCAATGGCGGGGGAATGGGTTGCATTGTTGTGTCCAATGTTTGTAAATTACTAAAGGTTCTTTGTTGACTTTTGTCGCGGATATTTTTCGTTCCTTTACTTCTTGTTGAACTGGCCGTATTGATATTTAATGGACTAAGCTCTGGAAAGTGCTCCTCAGCCAGTGGTGGTAGTTTTTGTTGATTCGCTGCAAGAAATCTCTCCTCTGTATGGGCATTGTGTCTCGGTGTTGGTTGTGTCTTTTTGCTATCTAGATCTGTTGATATTTGCTTTTTTAGTTTTGAATGTGTTCTTCCTTCAACCCCGGCATTGCACTCCAACGGTTGATTGTAAGTATTCTGTTGTCCGTTTTTGACGTGGATAGTTCTTTTATCTAATGTACTTAGACGTGGGAAGTGCTGTTCATTTAGGGGAGGGAGTACGGGATCTCTTGCATTTTTGGATCTTTCCTCTGCACAAGCAATGTCTTTTAGCTGTTGATTAGCAGACGAAATACCTTGACGTGATTGTTGACTGATTTTCTTAGTCAGACTGTCCGATCGTTGCGTGTTTTTTGTTCCAATATAAGCGCGATTCTGCGCTGACGAGTGTTGTTCATTAGTGTTTGATATCGTACAAGGCTTCTCCTGGACATTTGACCCTGGTATTATCAATGGCTTTGGGGAACGTTTGTTATGTCCCTTGGGTTTGTTCTTATCTTCATATATTTTCGACTTAACGTCACATTTTCCTAAATGGAGAAATCATGTTTGATAAGATTGGCAGACAAATTACAAATAGTTCTTAAAGACACATCAATGGGTGAAAGAAAGACGTGGAAATGTGTAATGAATGCAATCTGCTGCGTTTGATGTAAAACACACACAAAAAACGAAATAATAGCAAAATATTGTCGTATATTACACATCATTATATTATCAGCATCTTTGATGGTCAGCAAGTCAGTGGTTCTGAAGTCTTTTCACGACAATCAATGGTGTAAGAGAGTAACTCACTTGTTTCTTCTGCTGAAGCCTGTGAATCTTGAGACTTCAATGACGCTTTCTCCGCAATAAGCACATGAGATGTGTTCTTTTCATTGTGGGATTTTCGTTTTCTTTGATTATCCTTTTTAAGATATTTACTGAAATAGAAACAACTGAATATACCATGATTGATAGAAAAACACATTGATGATACTAATTCTAGGGCACCATGTGCTACAACTGTACATCAACTGTTATTAAACACTAACAACACATAAAAAAGACTCAATAAAAAAGTAATCTTGTTCATATTACCTATGAAGTATTTTACAGTTACTAACATACGAGATACTATATCCTTTATAACTTGATTGCCGTCATATAACGCGGTTTTTCTAAATAGGTATGTAGAAAATAAGATACCTTTTTAGTAGATTGTCTCCAATGGGAGAGGGGGAGAAGTCTTTAGATGTAGCCAATGNTCTGTTGTCCGTTTTTGACGTGGATAGTTCTTTTATCTAATGTACTTAGACGTGGGAAGTGCTGTTCATTTAGGGGAGGGAGTACGGGATCTCTTGCATTTTTGGATCTTTCCTCTGCACAAGCAATGTCTTTTAGCTGTTGATTAGCAGACGAAATACCTTGACGTGATTGTTGACTGATTTTCTTAGTCAGACTGTCCGATCGTTGCGTGTTTTTTGTTCCAATATAAGCGCGATTCTGCGCTGACGAGTGTTGTTCATTAGTGTTTGATATCGTACAAGGCTTCTCCTGGACATTTGACCCTGGTATTATCAATGGCTTTGGGGAACGTTTGTTATGTCCCTTGGGTTTGTTCTTATCTTCATATATTTTCGACTTAACGTCACATTTTCCTAAATGGAGAAATCATGTTTGATAAGATTGGCAGACAAATTACAAATAGTTCTTAAAGACACATCAATGGGTGAAAGAAAGACGTGGAAATGTGTAATGAATGCAATCTGCTGCGTTTGATGTAAAACACACACAAAAAACGAAATAATAGCAAAATATTGTCGTATATTACACATCATTATATTATCAGCATCTTTGATGGTCAGCAAGTCAGTGGTTCTGAAGTCTTTTCACGACAATCAATGGTGTAAGAGAGTAACTCACTTGTTTCTTCTGCTGAAGCCTGTGAATCTTGAGACTTCAATGACGCTTTCTCCGCAATAAGCACATGAGATGTGTTCTTTTCATTGTGGGATTTTCGTTTTCTTTGATTATCCTTTTTAAGATATTTACTGAAATAGAAACAACTGAATATACCATGATTGATAGAAAAACACATTGATGATACTAATTCTAGGGCACCATGTGCTACAACTGTACATCAACTGTTATTAAACACTAACAACACATAAAAAAGACTCAATAAAAAAGTAATCTTGTTCATATTACCTATGAAGTATTTTACAGTTACTAACATACGAGATACTATATCCTTTATAACTTGATTGCCGTCATATAACGCGGTTTTTCTAAATAGGTATGTAGAAAATAAGATACCTTTTTAGTAGATTGTCTCCAATGGGAGAGGGGGAGAAGTCTTTAGATGTAGCCAATGGTCGCTGGACCTTTTCACTGCTTGTACAGAGGTCGGTATCGTGGGATGACGTTGACACAAGCACATCGCAGGCCTTGACAATAATGATGATATATCATAAAKATTATAATATTTGCTAATATTAGCGTGATGTAATCGTAGATACATCGTTTTGGCGCTAACAATCTACATTGCCGTTTAAACACTCATAAAAGTTCGCTCAGTTTGTAACTTCAACAACAGAATACATACCACAACGGTAGCTGTTGTAACTTTATTATCAGCGGCCTTCTTCGTCAGTGGTCGCGATGGCTTTACCTCACCAAGATCAATGGGGCGAGATGAAAGTAACTGACTCAGCGTTTCTTCACTTGGCGTCTGTGAATCCTGGGACGTTGATGACGCTTTCTCCTCAATGAACACATCACAGTCCTGGACAATAACAACGACAATTTATAAATACTAATATGTCACCGATTTATTTCTCAGCAAACATTTCTCTGGCAACATTTCGTGTTTCTTGAAGTACCTTTTTCACCTGGGGATCGAGTTCGATGTTGTCGGATGTGCCAAACTTTTCCTCTTCTGTTGGCAGTGAATCTATAGAATCCCTGACCTCTGATGGCAGTGGTGCTTCGTCAGATTTGTTCTTTTCAATGTGGTGAAGATCTTTCTTCAGCGGAACTTTTGATGGTGTTTTCTTTTTCCTTTTCTTGTGCTTTTTACAGTTTTTACTGAAACGTATAGAATTTAATATGACTTTCCTGAAAATATGACGCACTTACATGATACTAAGCCTGGTCCACCAAACCTGAACAACAACTGTCACTAAACACTTACAAAACATTGCTTGGATATAAATTTTGACTGATTTCAAGGCCTTTCAAAAAACTTGAATGAAAATAAAATACCTTAATTGCTGCTCCTTTTTTCCGGTTGTAAAGATGTCGACCATGTTGTTATCATGGGTCGACGATGGTGGCGTGAGCGCATCGCAATCCTTGACAAAAATAATGTTATATCATAAATATCATGATACTAATCGCAAAGACATATTTGTGGGTACAGTCCCTACAACTCCCATACAACATCCACACTAGTTTACATACCAAAACGTCAGCTGTAGAAACCATGTCAACAGGGTCTTCCTTGGTCAGTGACTGTACCTCTTTATCACCAAGATCAATGTTGCTGGATGGTATAAGGTCACTTCGCGTTTCTTTACTTGGCGCCTGCGAATCCTGGGACATCAATTTGTCGTCAGTGAACACATAATAGCCCTGGACAATAATAATGATATTCCATCATGTTATTTGCTAATAAAATTTAATGAATGCTAATACTTTTCGTATATTTGTGGATATTACAATCTGAATTCCCTGCAACTCCCATACAAGATTGCCGCCCGTCCAAGTTAACACCCACACTAGTTTACATACCAAAACTTTAGCTGTAGAAACCATGTCAACATCGTCTTCCTTGGTCAGTGAATGTACCTCTTTATCACCAAGATCAATGTTGCTGGAAAGCTTAAGGTCACTTCGCGTTTCTTCGCGTGGCGCCTGTGAATCCTGGAACATCAATTTGTCGTCAGTGAACACATCACAGCCCTGGACAATAATAATGATATTCCATCATGTTATTTGCTGTTAAAATTTAATGAATGCTAATACTTTTTGTATATTTGTGGATATTACAATCTGAATTCCCTACTACTCCCATACAAGATTGCCGCCCGCCCAAGTTAACATCCACACTAGTTTACATACCAAAACGTCAGCTGTAGAAACCATGTCAACATCGTCTTCCTTGGTCAGTGACTGTACCTCTTTATCACCAAGATCAATGTTGCTGGATGTCTTAAGGTCACTTCCCGTTTCTTCACTTGGCGCCTGTGAATCCTGGGACATCAATTGCTGGTCAATAAGCACATCACAGACCTGGACAATAATAATGATATTTTTGAATATCATTAAAACTGATGGATTCCATAACACACCATTATTTGCTAGCATTAGTTTGTTTCTTGTAGTACCTCTTCCTTGTGAAGATCGACTTCGATGGTACAAGATGTGTCAGTTGTTTTCGTTCTTGTAGTCTGTGAATGTACAGACTCCATGATCTCTGATGGCGCTTCGTCAGATTTGTTATTTTCATTGTGGTGAGGATCTTCCTTCGCGGGAATATCTGATGATACTTTGTTCTCATTTCTAAGACCTCTACTGAAATGCAAGAAAATATACCACTGTTGATGCAACAAAAAGCAAAAAAACAAACCATTATGCAAGTCAACGGTGTTCTGCAGCTGCACCATCAACTATAATTACTAAACACTTACATACGAAACAATGCATCGAATAGTAACATAAAAAAACTTGTAGACGCAGTTACTTTAAAGATTGAATAACTAATTGTACTTTAATAGCAAACTACACTATCATAGTTTTATACCTTTTCGATTCATTGACTTGAAATTCGTCATTACTGTCAGGAGGCAATGACC